ATAGTAAATGGATACTAAATTACAGAGATCTTAGAAATTATCCTCACCACTATTAACTGTACTTTGTTTTTCATCATGTGGAAAGGGCATAGTGCTAGAGGTAAACCATAACTCCTAAACATCATAACTGAATTTCTGGAGGCTGGTTTATAGATCTCTTCATTTTTGCTATAGTCTTAGCTTAAGATTTCTTTTGGGTATGTGGGAATAAAAAATAATAATAAATAACTAATGCCAATGAAAAAGTCCTTTGAAGCGAATAAAATACATATAGGAATAAAGTACTATTTTTTACAGCAAGCCATTTGAAGAACTGTATGCCCTTTTAGTCTCTATAGGTTCTAATATAGCAGTGAACATGTAAATAAGCTCTCAGTAAATAATTACTTTGCAGGTCAAGCTGAGGACAGTTAAGAAACTGGACGAGAGATGAAATCTAAATTAATCAACTTGAAGTAGTGAGTCCTGGGTTTCACACAGGAGCCCACAATGAATTGTTTAGATGACTTATGATGTGGGGAGTGAATGAAGATTTTCCAGTCTATAGCAAATGCAGAGTTTTCTTTATTTCCACATCAGTTTTTTTAAATGCATACAAAGACATATATTGTCCATATTGCAGCCTCAGTGGAAATTTTAATAAATAGCATGGATTTTTCTTAATTTGTATATTCCACTGATTTTCCTGTGGTTTTAGAAGTGAACTGTGTACCAAAGATTTTCTCCATTACCCTGAATAATCAATTTTTTTTTCTTTTTTGAGCTAAGTTATTATGGGGATTAATCATTGGTTTTACATTTATTCATTTTTGAATTTATAAAACCCACAGCCCCTGGAAGTTAATTTTCCATATAAAGCCACATAATATAGTATTTTTTACCAAGAAATTACATGCAATATGAACTAGACATTCTACCTCCCAATAATTCCTGATGGTTTACTTTGTCTACATTCTTATAAAATATTATCAAAACACTCAAGAAATAGAAGAGTGAATATGAAAGGAAGTGCTGCTTGCTTTATTCAGTAAAAAGATATGTTAGTCAAGAATCATCTCAAAATTTTGATTCCTTCTATATGCATCTTCACACTCACTCTGTAATCATAGGAGCATCTTGGGTCCTCATCACAGTTAATCACCTCTGGTGCCATCCAGTATGGTGTCCCAATAAAGCTGTTTCTCCTTCCATTAGTTCTGCTCACCTGGGCACTCACTCCAAAATCCACTGATAATTTCAGCATATGTCAAAATAATTAACCAGGAATAAAAAGCTCAATAAGTTATTGCTTTAATTTGGGAAGTCGATACAAAAAAGAAACACAGCAGATAACAGATTTTAATTCCAGCACAGCAATTTTACCATGAAATCTACTCCAGGAGTATTGGGAAATAAGTATTTGCTAATATTTATGTTGGGATGAGACTCTTCAGTGCCACTATTTACAGTAGGTTTGGCTGAATAGTTACCATGAATATTAAAATTAGAGTCCCATTGGTATACACTGAACCTCTGATCTGATAACATACATAGTGTTTATAACTGCCACAAAGCTGGAGAAAGAACAGCACTATAAGCAATATCTCAGAAAAGTAAAACCTATTAGCATTTGACTAGGAAGCCTCAGTCTTGAAATCAGAAGTCCACCACACTTATAAGGAAAAATGACCTTTTTGATAAAATTTAATTTAAATTCTTACACTCATCTTCTGAAATAAATGAAATATTTATCATGGTCTCTGTATCTTAGCTTAGACTGTAAATATTCAGGCTTCTAATCATCTGTGTGATACATTATAAGAAAATATTTAGTATGGTATCCTCAGAAACATACAAAAAAAAGGCTGAAATAGACTGGAGTTATATATTTGAGAAAAAAAAAGACAGGGATAAAAAATGAAGTAGAGGGCTAGGGATTTAGCTCAATGGTTCCGCCGCCTGCCTCACAAGCATAAAGACCAGAGTTTGATCCTAGACACACACACACACACACACACACGCACACACACAGTAGATTTTCTAATTGAGAACGGTTTCCAAGTATCCTGAGGATGGTGAACAAAATTGACTGAAAAGCAGTTTAAGGCAGTCTTTAATAAAAGCTTTAATACTAACAAAAAATATACAAAGAAAAGTATTGTGAGGATCACTTATTTGTTGTTGCACATTCTCATTATCTAAATTATCTAATCTAACTGTGTGTGTGTGTGTGTGTGTGTGTGTGTGTGTCTCATATATGTTAAATTAGCACTCCCACTAGCCCTAATTCTCAATTTTAAGGAGCAAAAAATACCTATGAAGGCCAGAAGGGAAGAAAATGAAAGGAGAAAATACTAGAAGGAGTGATGAACAGAAGAAAAGAGAGAAAAGAAAGAAAACTAAAATCTGAAATTAAAATAAAAATGGAGTTGAGCTGGGGATTTCGCTCAGTGGCTCCGACGCCTGACCTCACAAGTGCAAGGACCCAAGTTTGAACCCTGGTACCAAAAAAAAGTGGACTTGAAACTTCAATAATGGCTCAATTTAATCTTTAATAACCTGTGGGAGTGGAATATGAATATTTGATCAATTATAACTGCCATATAAAATGTTTTCCTGTCTTTTTTTCCTGCTGTCATTTCCTTTGGCTAGCTCTAGCTTTGCCTTCTGCAACCTTCTCATTATGTGTTGCTTAAAAATATCCTATGATGAGAAGTGGAGTATGGCTCAGTGGTACAGTACTTGCCTAGCATGTACAAGGCCCTGGGTTCAATCTCTAGCACTGTAAGGAAGAAAAAGGCTAGGATCTGAGAAATCTAAACACATTGTATAAAGATTATATGTAAAATAAGTAAGGCTAAATTCGAATCCATCCATAAAATGTCTCCATCAGTGTAAATACATGAACTTCGATACAAAGACTTTTATGACAGACATTTTAGGGGCTTTCACTTATATATAATTTCTATTCTGTGTTTCAAATGATTGAGTGGCAACAAATTGATCCAAGCAGAGTGTTGAACATTATGCATATCAGTTTTATAAAACTGTGTTTCTAGATGTATAGCTCTTAGTTACAAAAGAAATAGTATATTTTCTTGAAACTCATTTATTTCAAGAAAAGTTGCTACTGCATACTTCTTTCACAAATGTTCAACAAAAAATATTCTTAGTAAGTGATCAAACAAAGAAGAGGATGTTTACAGGGACATGAAAGAAAACACAGTTACATTAAAGGAGTTTTCTTGATTAATATGTTTTGGTCCTAACCTAACATACTGCAAAAATAAACTTACCCAGTTTTACTTCAGCATTATGAGTCAGAAGCACATTCTGACCTTTGATGTCCCGGTGAATTACTCGGTGTTCATGAAGGTGAGCTAAACCCTGTAGATAGATAGATAGATAGATAGATAGATAGATAGATAGATAGATATAGATATACGTTAAAAAAGCCACATCAGTGTGTGTGTGTGTGTATATATATATATAAAAAAAAAATATGTGTTAAAAAAACCACATCAGTATTTTTGGAAAAAAATTTGTTAAGAAATAACTCAGATTTGATTTTTAATACAAAATTCTTTCTTTAGGCTGGAATTACTACAACAATTTTCCAGAAATTCTACTTTTGGCCATAGGGAAAGGAAAATAAACCAAGACACCCATGAAAGAACAGAACACCAGAAAGCAATGTGTGTATATGTTGGGCCACTTTACCTTCCTTTTTAACCTCCATATTGCCAACACACCATAAGAGTAAAGAACTGAACATCTTGACCATATCATAGCTCAGACATAGTTTTTCTCTATTCCTCTTCCAACTGTTTGTCTGGTCCAAAATATTTTCTGTCAGCCTTGTAGGCTGAGTATTTGAGAGAATATGGAAATTCATTTTAAAACACTTGTAATTTGTTTTGGCTTCCCCTTCTGGCCCCAGTCTGTTCACCACTAAAATAACCCATGACCTGGCTAAACTATGACACAGTATGCAGTATTAGGCTGCTGTGAATTTGCTCTAGACACTAACTGGAGATGGATAATAGAAGCAACAATGAAAGCAACTAAAATTGGATGAGGCTTTATACTTTGCTAGATATTGTGCTAAATTCTTTACATGGAATAAATTATTAAATCTTCACAGTAATGCTTTGAGGAAGATGTTAGTATTATCCCATATTACACATGAGAAAAGTGAGAATGGAGAAATTAAGCAGCTAACTAAGGCCACATGGCTAATACATGGTGAAATAGAATTTAAACTCAGTATAGAGCACGCATTCTTGGTCATTTACATTATTATCACAAATGAGTCTAATCAAATGGGAAGAAGAATATGCTAAAAATGTTGAACAGTGCTATTCATTTCTGTTAATACTCTCCTTGGGTGATTTTAAGCATTCTGAGCCACAAAGAAAAAACTGAGTCTGATAGACAAAGAAGATTGTTGTTCGCATGCAATTGGGTGATAGAAATTATATATATATGAATGAAATATATCGCAGCATTCAAAGAGGATATCTATCTAAAAAAGGCTGCAGATAGTTTGGGCTCTTCTGTAGAACACTGACTTCTCCTGACAAGTCTTCATCTTAATCTACGATGACAGTGCTAAGCTTTTTAAAAAGTGAACTCTGGTGTGGGGATACACCCCCAATAGTAGAGGACTTGCCTAGCATGTGCAAGGCCTGGTGCTCAATTCTCAACACCATAAAAGAGGCAAAGAAAACCTAGAAAAGTTGGGCTGGGGATTTAGCTCAGTGGTTCTGGCGACTGCCTTGCAAGCGCAAGGACCTGAGTTCAATCCCTAGTACCAAAAAAAAAAAAAAAAAAAAAAAAAAAAAAAAAACTAGAAAAGAAAAATCTATGAATTTTGCATAATAATCCACAGCGTCATTTCCACAATCTACTGAACACAATGACAGCCATTAAAAGCTATGATTTGCAAGGACTTGGTTACACCTCTTGCAGTCCAATGTAAAATTGAAGAATATTAACTGATTGTTTGATTTTTTTCCAAGCTTTTGGACCTTTATTATTTTCTCTGATCCAGAGGTTATGTTTAGAATTATTTTTCCTCCCCCTACCCTGTATTTCTTTTATTTGTTACTGGGGGTAAAACCCAGGACATTCATACTGAGTTACTTCCCCAGTCCATTTTTTTTTATCTTGAGACATGAGTCTTGTTAAGTCACTCAGATGCAATTTCAATTTACAATCCTCCTCAGCCGCAGCCTCCTAATTAACTGAGATTGCAGGTGTGCACTGGCTTTAGAATTCTTAAGCAATCACATATGAGCTATAGACTACATCCTCTACATTCTTCCTAGGTTCTTTCAAGACCAGCAAAGAATGATTAGATGAAAACTCACCTGAAGGATTTCTCGGCAGATATAAGCAATCCAATCTTCTTTTAAACTCTGATTTCTAGTCATTCTCACAACATCAGTGACTGAGCCTGCTGCACATAACTCCATCACCATCTACAGGGAAGCCATTCAAATATAAAGAAATAGAAAGTGATATTCTGAAAATATCTAGAGAATTTTAGTCCATATAGCTTGTATTTGTATGTAAAGTTTAGAAATCAAAGCACTGAAAAAAATGACTGACTGTTGTCTTCCAGAACTTCAAAGACTAGTGCAATTAGAAATTGTGAAGGCAGGGAACCCAGGTACCACACCGAAGATATTTAACGAGGAGGAAGGTTTTGAACTAAGCCTTGAATTATAGGTAGTGTTTGGATATGCTTAAAAGGAAGAACATTTTGTTTATGGAAAACAGAACGCGCAAATGCCCTCAGAAAGAAACGGGTGCAGGGGACAAGCCTGAGTAATGACTAGAGCGGAAAGAAAGGAATAGCTCAGGGGACAGTTTGATCTGAAGTGAAGAAGCAGCAAATGGAGGGCCTAAAAAGAGTACACATGAATGTCAACAGTGGGTAGGATTTTCCTTGTTTTGTTTATTTTCCAACTCTACATTATTTTCTACAAAATGCCAATGAACTACAGCTCCAGGAGGAAATCATCAATTGAATTCCTTTAGGATAATTTATTTAAAAGGGAATTAATGTTAAGTAACTTTATTTTAAAGCTTACTTCTGACATCATTGCATTCTGATTTTACAGTTAATAAGCTCCACATCTAGAAAAATTACTTTTGCCATCAGTGAATCAAGTGCCCAAGTTGTAAATTCCCTTCAAAATAATGTTAGCTAAATAAGGAAGACAGAGCAATAAGAAGGAGCATATAACTATTATAATCAATCTACCAAACTTTTCTTCAAGTGGAGGTTTATGCATCACTACTCATGTTGAAACCAGTTTATCAAAAGGACAAATACATCTTTTTATCTATAAGCAACTTAACTGTCACTATAGGTGAATGAAAGCAAAAAGATAAACTCAAAATCTTGAATGTTAAAAAATATTATTTCCTTTTGGAATATTAATACGTTTTTTTTCAAAAAGTTACTTCCCTTGTTTGGAGTTGTTCACCACTGATGATACTGAATGTCATTGACCTGTATACACTGTCAGCAAAAGAAGAAAGAACTCAGCCAAATGAAATCAACTGTATAGATTAACCACGAAAGGTTTTGTGTGGGGGATTAAGTGCAGACTATTAGATGGCACAACATGTACATTGTGGTTATGGAAGCAAAGGGCCTCATTTTGAACTATGATTAACCTGAATTAATGCCATTTGCCAAAGATTAACCCTGAAAGGTCTTGCTAACATCTAAATCATAAGTGTTCAATTATAAAAGGAACAGGAGGCATTCACAATGATTTTCTTAGTTTTGTTTTTTTTTAATTTTTTTTACCTTTGTATGCATAGCATCTGGTGTATATAAATGGTAAATATCTGGCTATTTACATTCTTCCTGTGTGCTTTTTGTCTGATTTACATGGGCAATAAAGTGTTAATGGACCAACAGAAACTCTTAGCTCCCTAAGTAAATTATGCATTAAGTTTCTACTTATCCTTCAGATCTGTTTAAACTTTTATTTCCTTAAGGAAGAGTTTCTCATCCACCCGCTTAAATTGTTTCTTTTGTTATCCACTCACATAAAACCATTTTATTTTACTTCTGACATTCATTTGTGTATCTGAGTAATATTGGTCTTTGCAAGTAGACTGTAAACTCCAATGAGCCAGGGGCATATCTATTCAGCTTACCGTTGCGTATCCCCAGAATCTAGTAGAATGCCTGGCAAATAGATGGTTTTCAATGAATGTATGTTGAATGACTGAATGAATTGAGTACTAATAATATATATCCAATAAGAAGACTGCAACATTTTTCATAGTTTGCCATACTGTCAAGAGGAAAAAACTTGTAAGTAAAGATATATGAAAAGACAAATGGTGTATGTAAAAAATAAACTAAAAGCTAGTAACCATTACAGCTGTGCAGCAATATTTAATAAAATTTCAGTTGAAATTGCCAGAGAATAGAGGAGTCAAAACAGCTGGAAGTTTGAGAGAAAATGGGATTTAGTTGAAGATCTCTAAATTTGGTGATTCTCAGATTATTGTGCTCCGACCAGCAGCATCAGCATCAACTGTGAACTTATGAAAAAGTGTACATTTCACACACATCCCTGAGCTGCTGAATCAAAAGTTCTGTGAGTGAGATCCAGCAGTCTGTGTTTTATAAAGCTCCCCAGAAGATGCTGATGGATGCCAAGAGAGCTGAAAACCACTTTTCAATTTAACCTTTTGTTGAAAAGCTTTCTGTACTGTCATTGCCCTACTTCCTCACACCATGTACAGAATATAACAGGGTCTTTTGTCCTCACTTGAAGATCCTGAAAAGTTTCATTTGTTATTTTGAAAAAATATTACTACTGATTTGGACTGGAACAGAAAATATACCAAGTATAGATATTATACATACAATGACTCCAGTTTATATTCTAAATATTATGCTTTTAAGAAGAACATCCTTAACCAAAGCTCATTTTCTTGCTAATGTACTTATGGAAGGCAACAAAATTTCTGGTAACTGTGGATTAATTAGTCTAATGTCTTATTAGCTTCTAAAATTTACATTTCATTGATTTGGATTTGTGATACTCCAGCCATGATGACTAAGAAAAGGATAAGTCAATTAACTATTTAGAATAGAGTTTCTAGGAGTTATGTTTTTACATAAGTGCATAAATTTGAAAATGCTTAAAAAGTACCCAGTATACTCATGTACTAATTAGAATTGATCCTCATGTAGTCTTCATTTGCTAATCCATCAGGCAGCCTCTGTACCAGTAAAACGGTGATTAGTTTAAGTTAAAAGTAGCCAACCTATATTTCAAAATATGTATGTTACATATTGCCAACATTCATTTGAGTCCTCCCTCTTTCCATCAAGAAACTACTCACTAGACATATACTTTATTTTTCTTTATTTCTTCACTTTAATCTCCAGGAATTGGAGCACTTACTTTCATTACTACCTTGAGCAATTGAGTGCATAAATTTTCCTGTAGATGCACAAAATTAGCATATCAACTCATAGAAAAGAAGTACATCTTTGGATAAGACTTCCTTTTATTGAATAATATCAAGATAATTAAAAACATACCCAAAGTTGGTGTCTGTGGCCAGGGGGACTCAACTTGAAAAATGCACCATAGAAAGACACAATGTTTTTGTGGAAAGAGTATTTCCTCAGAAGGTTGAGTTCAGTCCTGAGATCTTCTTCCTCATCCTATGGAACAGGAACAGACAATAAACTGCTAAACCACGCAATTCAATGACTATTGATCTATAAACTATAGCAAACTCCTAAAGTAAAATGGTATTGCAAGCTCTTATACCCTACAATAATTCATAATAAAATATCAACTTGAATTTTCAGCAAATGGAAATCTCTGGTTAACTTGTTATTTGGGAGGGAGATGGTAGACTGAAGTTCTCTTAAATTCAGTAGTTCTTATAATGTGGTTCTTGGATCACCACAACGGACCATTGTATAGCATTTTGATTGAATAGAGTCACAGAATTTTTGTTTGCTTTACAAGGCAAAAATAACTTGTTTGTTTGGTTTTTTGGTTTTACTCAGATATTATACATGCACACTATAATTCACTCATTTAAACTGTGCAATCAACTACTTTTTAGCATATACACAGAATTATACATTCATCGTGACAACTGTACCACACACAGAGATCTTTACTTTCTTTGTGTAAACTTATCTATTCTGGTTATTTTAAATATATAAAAGCATGTAATATGTGGGCTTTTGTGACTAGATATGTTTAAAGTTCATGTTGCATCATGCATCTATTTCATACTTTCAGATTGCAGTCCATCCACCAATGAACATTTGGATTATTTTTACCATTTGGATGTTGTGAACCCTGCTTCTATGAGCATTCCCACCATTTTTATATGGACATATATTGCAATTTCTCATAAGGATACCTAAGGAAGGAAATTGCTCAAATGGTAATTATGTACTTAATGTTTTGATGAAATGCCAAACTTTTTACATCCCCAATGACAATGTGTGAAAGGAGCTCCATTTTCTCCACTCCTTCACCAATTCTTTATTGTCTGTTTTTATTATTATAACCACTATGCAGTAAGTGATGATGTAATATACAGTTGTGGTTTTGACTTAAAATTCATGATGACTAATGATGTTGGACATCTTTTCATGTGTTCCTTGGCTATTGTATAAGTTCTTTGACAAATGTCTAATCAAAAATTATTTGTGCTTTTTAAAAGTTGAGCTGTCTTCATTATTAAACTGCAAGAGTTCTTTATATGTCGTACATAAAAATGCCTTGTTAGATGTAGAATTTGTAAATATTTCTTCTATTTGAGAGGCTTGCTTGTACTTCATAAATATTCTTTGGGACACAGAAGTTAAAAATTTTGATGAATTCAAGTTTATAGATTTCTTACTTTGTTGCTTATACTTTTGGTGTCATATTTAAGGATATATTGCCAAATTAAAGGTCACAAGGATTTAATCTTTTGTTTTCTTTTATTAATTTTGTAATGTCAGCTCTTATATTTAGGTTTCTGATCCACTTTGAGTTTTTTTTTTGTAGCCAGTAGAGGTCTAACTTCATTCTTTTGTTTATGTATAGTCAATATCACACTGTCAATATGTAATTTCTTATCTTTTAAAGGCATTGTTTTGTTCTGTGCTAATCTTTTTAAAAATATGTTTAAAATAATCTATTTTCCTAATTGAAACAGTTTTACATGTATATGAAGATATGCAAACTGTATTCTCATGGAAAACTTACTCCAAGCATTGCTAACAGTTTATAGTGTATTCTTTCAGATATTCGTATATGTTAATGTAGTAGCTAGAACAATGATAGAAATAAATATATATGTATATATACATATATAAAGTATGGCAATTTATGTTTAATATAAACAAGCTCATACATTTTCACTATTCTGCAACTTTCACATTTTTATTTATAAATCACACCCTTCTTTTTTCAATATTTATTTTTATCACTACACATTTGCCATACATAACTATTACAATTCCTTGTGATGAGTTGGTACATGTACCTAATGCATCTTAATTCTTTCTTCATCCTCCTTTCCTCCCCTTCCACCCCTCCTTCCTTCTCTTGGTCCTCTTTTCTTTTGCAAAGTACATCTTAATATATTAATAAATAAATGCAATCTTCCTTGGCCTTATAAGATTGCATAAAATGAAAGTATGGGTTTGATGCTCAGATCAGGTCTACAGGCCTTCCTATTTTGGGGAATTATCTAAATAGTGAAAATTAAAGCCATATGATTTGGATAAGATAACTAAAATAGAGCACGTAGTTTGAAGAGGTAGCAGTAGTGGAAGACAGTTCAACATAAATCAGAAAAGAGCACCCATCCTGGACAGCAGGATAACTGAGTTTGAGTACTGATTCCCCAGAATAGAAAGTTCTCCTAATTTTCCAATGCTCCAATTTAAAAATACTGAAAGATCTACAATATTACTTGTCTCCATGAATTGTTACTAGGACCAAATTGAATTATATGTATAATGTCTCTGAAATCCTTGAAAGACAGATCCTATAAATGTAAGCTATTATCAAAAATATCTGTTCCTTCTCCTTCTGTTGGATAAGAGTGTTATCAGAATTGTAGTCCTGTCCTTACTTTTTACCTTAATCTAAAAATGTCAGCCCCTTTCATTCCCAGTATATTTGCTACTGGGGAGTGAAATGTGAAGTGAATCTTTCTCCTTAAGCTTCAGTTATGTCTGCTGTAAGATGAAAACCAAATGGTTTTGCTAATCCTTTTATAATTCTTATTTCTTAGGGAATCTGAAAAAAGAATCTTTGTTTCTTGATAATTTGAAAATAGCCACACTTTTGTGTATCTCCTTAGTTACCATATACTAAAGAAACATACCTTCATTATTAACTTACAAAAAGGTATTTAAATTGCCTGGAATGTACAATGCATATATTAGTAGTTTGTGCATTTAGATGTTATTTTTCTAACTTAAGACACTACCATACAGGGAAATAAGATTCACAGGCATCACTGGCATAACCTATGATGAATGCAAAATAGTGCATAATAAAGTAGAAGGTGATAAGTGATGACTCAAGAAAGGATTCTACACTTAAAAATGGATTCACCAGCAGGTTCTTTTGAATGCCTACTAGTTTTAAATTATATTTGATTGTAAGTAAACCAGCTCTTTCAGTGTATTTACAAAAGTTCGATTCATATCAAGTTTTTAGGAATAGTGCTATTGTCTAAAGTCTAGAGTTTGGGCAGGGGATTTAGCTCAGTGGTTCCTTTGCCGGCCTCGCAAGTTCAAGGTCCCGAGTTTGATTCCTGGTACTAAAATAATAATAATAACAATAATAATAAAGTGTAGAGTTTAATATATTTATAGAGTATAAATAGAAGAGGACTTGAAAAACAATCCAGTAAGACAAAGGATACTTTCTGCTCAAAGAACTGAGAAAAGATCAATTGACAAGAAAAGCTGTTACAGAGTTAACTGACAATTATCTTTAGCCCTCTGTAGCATTTTCACCAACTACACTGACTTAACCTGAGGAAATAAGTCTCTAAGCTGAATATAAGTACTCAGTAACTAAAAATATCTATGCAGTTATCACCTTTCTTAGCTTATCCTCTAAGACTCAGCAGGAAAAAGTGGACAATTGCCTTATGCATTTGACTATATTTTGTATTGCTTTAAAAAATGCTCGTAATATAAACATAAGGCAACCCTGTGGCATCTGTAGTATCTCCAAGTTGACTGGTTTTTTGCTGGTGAAGTATCATTTTCCCCCCTGAAAGCCAAGTATTTATATCATGTCTTATTTTAAAAGTTTGAAATCTCAAACAGATATCCGTTTGCTGCAGGATGTTCTATGGAATTTTCCTGTGGATTTACTCATAAGCAGTCAAATGCTGTAGTAGAAAACAAATCTACATGCCAATTTGTCTTATGGGGGAAGGCAATATAGCCTGATTTGTTCAACTGGAAGCCCCCAATGAAAGATTCTCCCTTTCTAGTTATTGTGTAATAAAAGCATGGATACATAAAATATTCAAATTATGCCATGACAATTTATTGTATGACAACACAGGCTCCAGTCTCATCCCAGCCTCTCAAAGAACCTCAGTTAGTAAATTCCCTCCAAATTTCTATAATCCTTTTTCTAGCTAGGTAAAAGAAAAGTTAATCCTGTGGCTTCTATTTCTGTCCTGCAAGACATTTAAATCTCATTCTATTCCTGTGGTATAGGCTTTCTTTAAGAGGATAAAAATATCTGAAATTATGTAGACATAAACCACAGGAACAAGCAATTTTGTATGTACTCACAGTTTTTATTAAGATATTAATGATATGCTGAAAAGAATATGAACTCATAATAGTGAAATAAATGGGAGACATGTTGGTGTAAATCTAAGAATATGAATGAAGAGTGACACAGAAACAGGGGCAAAAGTGAGTCACTTAACCTATTTGGCTGAAATTTGGTCCAGCACTCTTTCAGGGTTACAAACCTCCCACTGCCAAGAATAGGAGAATAATGGCTGGATTCTAGGCAACAATGGCATTGCATTTGCAGTATCACTTTGCTCATCAGAAACCTGAGTCCTATAGAGGTAAATAGATCATTTCTTTCAAGTGCTTTTTGACTGTTCAGTGGGATTTGAACTCAGATTTCTGAACTTCTACATTATTTCTAATCCCATAAAGCCCTGGTATCAAAGATGGGTGAGCAAATCATAGGCTTTTTATTCCAAGGGATTTGAGATGCTGAATGGCTGATTAGCTAGCACCAATTTTTCTCACTAGAATACATAACCATTAAATTCAAACTCTCTAACAAGAAATATCCTATCAAAGTAGGTTTCCCTTATAAATGTAAATTCCCCCAAAACAAATAAATGAAGATCAGATATATTTGGAAGGCATGTGTGTATGCCACTTTCAATTAACAGGAAGTTGAGCTTGTGAAAAACACATAAGTACATTATATCCATCAGGCCAAGTGGGTAATTTAAAACTCTCACACATCTCCCTGTAATACAATGCTATAACACTACCTGGCTCAGGGCCAGTTGATCCTAGGCTCAGCCTGAAAACCCTGCTTTTTGTCAAGAACAGGCAGCTCAACGATGCCAACATTCCCTTGTAACTTTCCCAATTCTAGAATCAAATCTTTTGAATTATGGAAAGAATACCAGAAAAGTTTTGGGAAAGAGTTTTAGAGTTTTTTTAACATATGTGTTTGATAAAATTAGAATTGATCAAATAATTCCATTTTTTATACCTTATGTTTTGTGGTTTCTTGATCTACAAAATCCTGTAATAGCTATTTCCTTTGGATACACTTTGTCTCTCAAGATACATTAGAAACAAAAAAGGAGCCTGGTACCTAATCAACAAATTATGAAGCTACTTAGCAATACCTTCCAATATAACTAGATTTCGAATGTGACCATATTAATAGAAAAGTTTATTTTAATGTATCTTTGAGAGTACACTTATTAAAATACAAATTATTTTAATCCTACAAAGTTGGCTGAAGGAAATAATTAGGAAATATGGCAATGAATATATTAAGAACAGTAATTCTGCATTTAGGTCTATATAATGCTTTGATAGATTACCAATATTTATTGGAATAAGAGAATTCTCTGCCTAATCTTATTCTAGAGCCAGTGAATCATTAAAATCAGGCAATAAAAAAAATCTACAAGTAAAAAGGATCTTCACTCCTTTATGTGGTCAAGTACAATTGTTAGATGTCAAGTCTATAAACCGAGTAGCCTATTGAATTTCTGTGTGCACTGCTCTTACGAAAAAAAAAAGAGTAGCTATCATTTGACTCATATATAATAGTAATATTAGTTAGAATCATAATGGAAGAAAAGCCATTCAGTACAGGCAACCAAGTACAAGGTGTGAAAAAGGCCTTCCCAAGGACAATTTTGGGCAAAATCTCCTCTTTTGTTGCCACCCAGTCAAAGCCCTCTATTCTTCATAGATGTCCTCGTAGTAAAACTTTTCCTGTTGAAATGACCATTTCTTCTAAGCCCTGCTATTTGGCAAGTGTTAATGGTCAAATATGATGTCTGAATTTGTAGACATATATTAGAAAATATAAACATCAATTTCATGAAACAGTATTTTAGGGGTGGCCTTACAGAGATAATAACATAATGCAAAGGGATGAGTTTAAAGTGGAAAAATAAAGCAAAGACTATGTGGTTGCTAATGAGGACTTCTAGCACTCACACTGTATCTCCAGCCAACGGACTTTTGATATTTATTCACTCTCACCCGTCTTCCTATTTCAGGTAAAGGAGTCTGCAAAACCAACAACAGAACATTATTAGATCCACTTTGTATACTTTGGAAATGACTTGTGCTTAAATTTTCTTTGCTCCGTTTGCATCAAATGGAGGAGTAAGATAATATTATACTTCTCTTAATTTTTCACAAATAATTGTAATGCAAATATCATTTTCTTATTATATAAGGCACACAATTTATTGTAATAGATGTAATGACATAATTTCTACATGACAGTAAAGTACTATCTTCCCCCACAAAATCAGGTTTTGAGTACTAAACACTGACTGGCTGATCATGATTTTCAAATATTTCAAAATTTAGAAAATCTGAAATGTGGATTAAATATGAGTATAGGTGTCTGAAGCTGAAACAAAGAAATAAGTATTTTCTATAATTTCACTCAGAAAAGTACAAGTTTGATTATTTGGATGGCATGGTTTATAGAGAAAAATGAATCCACAAAACCTCAAAATTCCTTGAAATTCACACTGGTTTGCAACATTTGACACTAACTGGCAAAACAAAAAGTACACAACTCTTTAAACAGTTTCAGCAATTCACTTCCTGCACAAATTCAAAAAGAACCATTTACAGCATTGACAACAGTTCATAAATTTGCAGTTTTAAATACAATATTTTAAGATATGACTTGAACATCTTTTGATTTTTGTTATGTTCATGTTAACATTATTTTTCAGAAAGTGAGATACTCATCCTAAAGAAAGAAATCAATACTTAGCAAACTCTATGATAATACATTGCAAACTGTTAACAACTTTATGAATATTAGCAGCAACAATCCCAATTAAACTGTCTCTCTTGCTCATCTGCCAGAAAATACATGAAAAAAATGTGCACCTCTGACAGGTTCTTTACTTCTGCCTGTCATTGAGAGTCTAATAGCCACCATCCTCAGAAGGAATCGTTGGAGAGGGAAGGGAATATGATAGAACACAGACAGATTAACACAATATAGAGGAATAGAAGAAATATCTTCTCTGTTCCTCCAGGCAACAGGTAATCAACTGGAAATAGAAAGAAATAGACATTTTCCTTATTGTAGATATGAAAATATGTGGAATTTTGGGTGTGAATAAAGTATTTTAATGTGGAAGTATAATAAAACAATAAGTACAATACACCAATGTTTATTAATAATATTAGAAAACTATAATAAATCCAGATAACATAAGAATAATTATGTAAAATAATAATTTATCAACAAACACAATACTTATTGAGGTGCTTATTCTAAGAACACAGTCCTTAAAGAAATAGAACATAGACAAGATGTAGTATTACCTTACGAGCATTCATCACTTTAACAGCCGTAAGTGCACCAGTCTTTTCATGAAGTCCCTGAAACACCAGACGGTGATAAACATGAAATACTACCTACTTAATCCAGCTATCAAGAAGTAAAGTTAAGAAAATAAAATTACATAAAGCTCAGTACATAACGTATTATGAAATATAAAACAGTATATACAGATGATATATAAGGCATATATAGAAATTAGAAACACTAAGTTATCAACATTTTAAAGAAACTCCAAATATTTCATTCAAAAAAATCAAGCAAGTTTATGGAGTAGTTTTGCTTTCTATGTTTGTGTTAAGTATTGGACATTATTGACCACTTAAAGTTACTGCTTACTTAATGCCTTTGGGCTAGATTTGTTTAGCATCCAAATACAAAGTGGACTTTCAATTGAGGATGACTCAAAAGCAGATGATCTACCATATATACCTTTTCAACTGATCATGGTACTATGCAGCCACATCTTTCCACTCGACCTTTTCTCAAGCACATACATTTCTCTATAATTATCACTACTCATAAAGGTGGTTCACACTTCTTCAATAGCTTCTAAACTGCTTGATATGTCCTGACTTATATGAACCAAATGTTTTATGAAAGGAAAACACTCTGGAAGATTCTTTCTTGTTGGAAACATGATGAGTTCTAAGAATATAGTCTTATCCTAAATGTAAGTGCTAGTTACAGTTTACAATTTTAAAAGTTGAACATGTAAGAATAAAATTATAGCTGTTATTTCACATCTGCTTTTAAAACATATTTCAAGCTAGGGTAATATCAAAAAATCAGCCCAGCATTAGTATAAGAAAATTTCACATAAACAGAATGTCTTTTTTTGGTACCAGGGATTGAACTCAGGACCTTGCACTTGCAAGACAGGCATGGAACCACTGAGCTAAGTGCCCAACTCCCAGAATGTCTTATTTGATAGTTTTCTAGCAAGAGGATTGTATTGGAATGATCAGCATTCTCCCCAAATTTAAGTTCATCTGGCAGCCAAGATTGTGACCTTATTTAGGAATATATTCTTTGCAGATGTAATCAAATTAAGCTGAGGTCATAGTGCAATAGGATAGTCAGTAACTGGTGTCACTTGTCTTAATTTGATCAACTTGTAAGGACAGAATGATATTATTTTGTAGGATTATGACAACACTTGAACTTCAGCTGCATTTATATAAACTACTAAATATGTTGGAAACATTA